TGGGACTGTGCCTTTTTATTTGTCGACCTTGGGCCTGTTAGCCTCAGCAGCCAGCAGCTGCCTGAGTGAAGAGATGCCTCCAGCTTCACTGGGCCGGGAGCAAGGGCAGAGCTGGAGCCTGAGGCTGAGGGGCTTTCACCCAGCCCCTAGAGCCTGGCACTTTGAACTTGGACTTTTAGCCTCCACATTGTGAGAGAATAAGCTCCTGTTTGTTAAGGCCATCCCATTTGTGGTATATTCTTGTCAGAGTGGCACTAGGTAACCAGAACAAGTTCCTAATAAAAATATGTTTAAAATGGCAACAGAATGGTATTTCCTTAACATGATATTTCTGTCTTTTTAAACGAGTGGCAGGGAAATATTACAGTTCACAGTTAAGTTTGTTCTTATTTAGATCAAGAAAAGATAGGCATGGGTGCTATCGCAATTTATTGCTTTGGAATTTCTGCAATACAGTTAAACAGAAATTAGAAGAAGAATAAATTTCCATATTGGAAAATAAAGTCCTCAAGGATTTTACATTCATGTAGAAGAAGACAGACAATAAACTAGTCCTGTAAGAAATTAGAAGATAAGTGCTGAGGAGCAAAATAAGGGGGTAGGGTACCTTTTTGAACAGGGTTCTCAGGGAAGGCCTCACTGAGAACAGCCAGGGCAAAGTCCTTGGAGCATGGCCGTGTGGTTGGTGTGTTCAGAGAACAAGCAAGGGCCTCGGGCTGAGGGAGTGAGGAAAGGGAGGGGAGCAGTGAGGTGGGAGCAGTGGGCCTTGTAGACCCTGTTTCTCTGAGTATGATGGGAAGCCTCCATAGGACTTTGAGCAGAGGAGTGATGAGACCTCTGGGAGCTGTGTGGAGACTGTATGGTAGAGGATTGAGGCCAGTATTGGGAAACCAGTGAGGAGTCTATTGCGATAATTTAGGTAAGAAACCATGGTGGCACCTGGTGGTGACAAGGAACATAGTGAAGAGTGGTCAAGATGCAGCTGTATCTTAAAGATGTAGCCAATTATATTTCTGGAGGGTTGGCTACGGGATGTGAGATAAGCAGAGAAATCAAGGACAGCTTCGAGGACTGTGGCTGAACAGTGGGAAGGGAGATAGTTGCTGTCACCTGAGAGAGGAAAGGCTATGGATGGGGCAGGTTTTTGGGAAACTTTTAGAGATTAGTTTGGAACCTATTATTTTTATAGAGCCTGTTAGAAGTATAAGGAGCTCTGGTGGCATAATGGGTAAGACATTTGGTACTAACCAGGTCAGTGGTTCAAACCCATCAGCTGCTCCATGGGAGGAAGAAGAGGAATTCTACTTCCGTTCAGATTTACAGCCTTAGAAACCCAATGGGAGTCACTGTGAGTCAGAATTGCCTGGGGGCAGTGGGCTTGGTTTTCTTTCGTAGAAGTCTGAATGTACATGCCTCATAGGCAGTTTTATAGATGAGTCTTGAGTTAAGTTGGGGTAGGAACAGAGTCCAAGGATGGAACCTGGGGCTTGCACAGATGAGAGCTCAGCAAAAGAGGCTGAGAAGGAGAGGCCTGGTGAGGCAGTAGGGGAAGATTTAAAGGAGAGGGGAGCGAACAGTGTGTCATACACCACCGTGAGGTCAACCAAGGATTCAGGGCTCAGGATTGACCATTGTACTTGACAGCATGGGTGCCACTGGTGATGTTGACAAGTGTAATTCGTGTTGGTGTAGTTGGCCTTAAAACCTGATTGGAGAGTGCTCAAGAAAGACTAAGACAGACCCGGGTAGTACTGGGCCTAGGGTTTTGTCAGGTGTGCTTGAAGACCCATGTTTAAAAGGGTGAGGGAGAATGATAATGAAGAGTCCTGGAATCCCAGCCGGATAAAGAGGAAGGTGAGGATGAGGGCAGGGGCAGTAGAGAGTGTGAGGAGTGTAGATCAGTAGATCTGGCTCTGGCAGTACTAGCGGTTTGTTGGTGTT